AGAATTGTGTAAAATTGAACGAAACAAAGTATGAAGAAGTATGTGTGTGTGTACATGTGTGTGTGTGCATACGTGCAACAGAAAGAGAGTGCGACAGAGAGCAAGGGAGGATTAGGTGATGAATGAAAGGTATACACTAATCACCAATTATAGCATATATTATACAAACAACTTATAATCCTTCACCCCCACTCTCTCTCTCCGTCTGTCTCTCTTTGTACATCTAAAGGTTACACATAATTATGCACTAAAAAACAAACAAACAAACAAACGTGATTATATAACTAGGATACAAATTATGTGTGCCATCTATGCCATCTATGATAATGTCACAGATTTATGTCAGCTGTTTCATTATTTTAAGATTCATTCATTTGGCACAAAGTACATACTTACTTAGCAAAACTTCACTGGGTCCTTTTGTTTTTGTTTTAATCTTCTTTTCTTAATGTTCGTTGAAAGTTTCATACAGTTTCTTTTTTGGTTTGTTTTGTTTAACCAGTATACTTATTTTTTTCATCAATTTGATAAATGTGAACGTTTTTTTTGTTACTAAGTATTCAATTGAAGTGGATTGTCATGATATGATCTGCTTCGATTTGACAAGTCTTGAATAGGAAGTAAAGAACATCTTGGATTCCAATGTCATTGACAATTTCTTACTTACTTACGCCTGTTACCCTAACCCTGTGTAAGAGTGTAAGTTGTTCACCAACATTCTTCATCCAACTCTCTCCTGGACAATTCTACCCAGTTACTATTCATCCATTTTATGTATGCTTCCAATTCTCAACGCAATATGTTATTTAATCTTTCTGTTTCCCATTTCCATTCATGATTCTGATTTGAGGGTTGCTTCGTGATGTAGTGTGATGATTTCCTCAATGTGTATCCTACTTCTAATATCTTTTCCTAATTTGGTTGGCTTGTTCTCTCTCACACTAGACTTTTTAAAAAAACACTTACCAGTCACAATCCTAATATACTGAAAATCTATGCGTTTGTATGTTTAAATGTACAGTGTAAAAAAAAGGTCACAAAGCGGACACTCGCTTCATCTTCGCCTGCATGAACATCAATTAACAGTCAAACGTCATGACAAGTCCTCACTTATATCAATGCAAGTGGACAACTGCGGACATGTATTCGAGTGGAAAAATGTGGAGACTTTGGATAGAAGCAATTCCAAAAGCACCAGAGAATTTTTAGAAGCTTGGCACTCAGGTCAATCAGCAATAAACAAGCACATTGAAATCGATCCAATTTATCAACCAATCAGGAAAATTACGGACAAATATGGGACCAAGAATCAAATCAATGGGAGATACAACCAAACACAAAGAAGTAAACAATGACAGGTTTAAGGTCAACAAGGATTAATCAACATCGAGGTGTACAGGACAAGCTATGAACCACATGTGGGGAAATTCGAACATTTCACTTCTACATGAATGTTATGCTGATGATGATGTCGTTCAGAAGAACGATGAAAGCTCTACGACTAAATCATCCAGTTCAGAAAACAAAACTCCATCAAAGTCATAAAATTAACTAGTTTTGTGTAGTGTCATAAAGTCACCAATGATCATCGTTTAAAAATTCTCAAACAGATTGTTGTAACGTGTGAGACTGCAGGTTATGATAGAGCAGCGTTTTATTGATCGTTTCAGTGACACGTAAATACGTACGAACGACCTAGTGTCCTGATTGGCCCTGCTTCCCTGTCTATCCCAGCCAGTTGAGTCCAGAACGAAAGTCACAGCCCCTGAGATATGAATCATTGTATTTCAGACATACTCTATTCATATACTAACCAAACATACCACATCGCACCATAAAAATAGAAAACAACATTTTGTACAATATTCAACAATGAAGTAAATATCGACCAATAGGGAATGTACATTTAGCGTCCAAGGACAACATTAGACTTAACATGATAACTATCGGTATATTTTTCTGCACATCCTAACACAGATATACACAACTATTTGATACTTCCTTAATTTTCAATCGTTATTCCATAAACCGAAACCCCCCAAAATAAACAATATTTACGTAGATATCAGGGATAACTTCGAGATTCTTAAAGTTAGACTTACTTTTCTACCGATAGTGTTGCATAATCATCATTTTATGTTGTAGATTGACCAAAGCGGAAAATCAATATCATTAGATTACAAGCAACCGCTCTTATGGTATTACGCTCATCGATTCAACCCTGAGTGATGTTCATGTATATTTACTACTGAAAAAATTCCAAAGAGTATAAAACAGATATTCAGTGCCTTTATGTTTTTTTCAATGGTCAGTCAAATAATGTGGTGAAAACTTGAAGGTATTAAACGGAAAACCCTATTCAAACTCATTTTAATAATATTTGGTACGAATAGGCAGTAATGTAATGGCAAGAAAACTGCTTCACCTGAAATGTTTGAGTACTTACTTATTGACGTCTGTTACCCGTCATAGAAGAGCATAGGCTGCCCACATGCATTCT